TAAGTAAAATAAGAAGTTTGGAGACCTCGATTTAGAATGCTGAAACTTTACCTTACAACAGTATTTAGCGTATTTTTTTCGTATAAAGGAATATTCTTTTTATACTTCTTAAAAGCACGTCTATATTTCACCAGTTCATCACATAGAATATTACATTCATCTAAAAAAAAAAAAATAATAATAATGATCAATTGTAAATGAAATGAAAAATACCTTTATTATTTTGGCACTAGTGTATCTTTGGAACAAACTATAAATACAGAATATAAATAAAGATAATGTAAAAATTAATTGCAATAAACAAGTAAAAATTAATTGTAATGCATAAAACTGGGAATATTATATATGCTTTAATTGGGAATATTTAAATAAACCGCTTATCTTTTGAAACATCATATTTTCTGATGAAAACAGATTTAATTTGTTTCAGTCTGACGGTCAGAAGGAAGAACTGAAAAAGCGAAATGTTTTCGTGGGGTAAAACACGGTGGTGGTCATAGTAAGGAGTCGAGATGTGTTTCATTTAGATGTAAATTTGAACATGCCAGGCTGTTATATTCAATACAAACAATAAAAGTTTCGTTTTATGCTGTAACCTGGTCACAAGAGATCGCAGGAGATCGTGTTTAGCGAAGCATTGCTCCCATTCCTTATCTTTTCATCGTCTTTTCATACTGGAAAAAAGAGGATGAAAATCCAATTATTAAATTCAAACCTCTGAAATTCATTATTGTGTAAGATATATAGTTGGATTGTATAGTCACTGTTTAGGATAGATCCTACCTACCATAAAACCTCCGCGTTGCTTTCTACTGTGATCATTTACTTACTGTCAGTTTCTAGTTTTATTATAGGAACATAACTAATCAACGATGTGATATCATCCTGGAGGAGATTTTGTTTCCTTTAAAATTCCATCCGAGTTGGAGCGAACGGTAAATGCTTGTGGAGTTGCTTAGACGTAACTGCCAGAATTGACAATATTCGATTTCAGAAATTTTAGTTGCTGTTGAATTCGACGAAACATAAATCATTTTTAAAAATCTGTTACCTTATAATGATTGCAAGAGATGTAGTAAAAGGAAGAGTAATGTTCTTACAGGTAAATTTGAATTTACTTAATGTTATCGTATACTAATGGCTTACTTGCGGGTGAAAGATTGTCTCCTTCAAGAACATTAATTCCTGGTTCTATATTTTCTCTCTGATCATCATCCTCACATTTTATATAAACCAGTTTTACGTTTTTCGGCACTGTTCTGAAAAAAAAAAGTGTTGAGATACTAATGAGCAATGAAAGATACTAATAAAATATTAATTTTAGTGAAGTTAGATCATATCCAACATTAATTCACAATATTACAAGCTAGAGAATCTCTTCTCCTCTCCTCCTCTTTTAGGCAACACCAACAACCAGTATGATAGTAACAACAACAGAAATATAACTAAAATTAATAATCAAAAATGTTGAAATTGGAGTTAGTCATTCTGTCAACAAACAGTATGAGTTTTTCAGTTGACAGAATGAACATCAAATTTCAACATTTTGAGTAAAGTCATTTTTGTGGTATTTCTAGTTGCAAAATTAATAATATCTGTACAGACATCGAGTGAGTTGAATCCAGAATGGGTGATTGCAGTGTTGAAATATAGAACTGTGAATAAAGTTATATATTTTTCCACTAGAAATATAACTAAAATTAATAATCAAAAATGTTGAAATAGGAGTTAGTCATTCTGTCAACAAAAAGGGGTCCGTTAATATAGTTTGCTGTATATATCAATATGTTCATTGTAGGATTGGAAGTTAGGAGTGGGGTAGCCGAGTGGACAAATACTACATATCAGTATTACGGGTCTGCTTATCGTTGTGTGAGTTAGGAATGGGGTAGCCGAATGGACTAATACTACGTGTTACTTTACGGGGCTACTAACTAATAATACGTGTACACAGCGCGTGGCACGGCACAACGGATCACAGATAATTTGATAAAAATGATTAAGAGTTCGCTAAAAATGATGCTCGAGGGGCTTTTAACACTAGCATTAATTCCCCGCCCTCAGTTACAGTTGGGATGTTATAGCAAATTTTTCGCCAAAATCGGCTTACCGAAAGTGGCACTTTATATTATCGAATTTACACAATTTTCTCAAAAATGGCTCCAATGATTTTGATTATATTCGTTTAATTATATCGATATATAGTTCGATATCAAAGGAAAATCAGTGATCTTTGATATCAGATAGTTATCATCCTCATTAAAATATTCTCTCTGCAGGGCTTAGATTACAAACGATCGAAATCTCATCTAAAGTACCTTTCATTTTGCTTATTTAAAATAATTACCATTTCCTATCATTTCTAGTGATACAAAATGATTAAATATACACTTTGAAAGCATTTGCTAATTAATTTAAGAAGAAAAAAAGGATCAGTATCTAACAAAGGTACTAACAAAGGCCGCTCTGAGAATCGCGTATGTTGCGTTAGCATGGTTGGAAGTTTACGGTAGTTAGGGAATGGAGTTAATCCGTAACAAATAATAATATTAATTTAACCTTTATTTTAATGATTGAGTTTGTTGATTGTGTCAATTGGTGCATCATATATTGATAATTTCCATAACTCGAAGGACAAAAGGATAAGCTATCTCTGATAGCTTAGAAGTAGTTATCTTAAAGGCACCGACTGTACACAAGACCCATTATCAGACTTATGGGAACAATAACAGATTTCAGCAAAAGGGCCTTTCTCACGAATCTCGTATCAATACTAAAGGATAAGAATATCACATGTTAATAACTCTTCTTAACTCCAGCCCTTTCCCAGGTTTCCTTGACCTCCCAGAATTCTTTCATCACTTGCTGTTCTAGGATATATTATAACCTTTATGGTCCTATGGACTCAGCACTCATGCAGTTACATTCTTGAAGTCATACACTTGTCAGGGGACCAAGATCCATGATCTTGTTGTCATACTCTTGTAGGAGACCTGGAGTGATCTCTTGTAGTCAACCCATATATTTATATTATTAATACAAGTATTACTAATAAAGTCCTAACTGCCTCCGATTTATTAAATAATTACTTCAGAACGTGTATAATTGGCTATATAATAGAGGAGGAATCCTCAGATAGAAATAGGCGATAGTTGATATTTTTTTTTTACAATCGACAGTTCGTTAGTAACGATAGTTCACTAAGTTCTTGCTACTGGCTTTAGGAAGATTTATTTTCAATGATTTTTTTTTTCTTTTTCTTTTTAATGATGTATGAACTTCGTCATAATAATTAACATTTTTGTTGGTTAAATTCTTGAAGATTTATGTTTATATGAACACTAAAAAATATTTTATATATATATATATAAGATTTTTCCAATTTTAACATAAAATGTATTGTTAATAAATTTACAGTACGTTTTCGATTGTACTTGTTGATTCTGATATTAATTCAGAGATGTAATAAAATACTTACCAGATATCTAACACTTCCGTTAATTAAAAAAACTATATTTCTTAATCCAAATTATGAGCAAAAAAATTAATGATATAATTAAAACAAATAAACACATCACTCCAATAAAAAGAAAAATAGTTTGTTTGGAATGTTCATACTTTTCAACAATTGGTGTTTCCGATATTTTTTCTAGTTTATTTTCATAGGGTAAGGTTGTTTCTGTACAGCACAATTTTGGATCAAGATCTGGAAGTACTTTATTATTTTGAAACTCTCTAGAAATGTCCTCAACCTGAAATTTAAAATAAAATACTGTATAACCATTATAAATACAATAATAACAATATAATAAGACTAGATTTATTACTCTTATTTTAATCAGGTCCCTCATACCATTACACCGAGATCTTGTACTAGCTCGTAGCCATTCCCAAGTGATATGTATATTAATATCATGATGATAGATATTTTATGGTGTGAATTGCTCTGACAGATCTTATTACACCACTATGGGAATCAAGGGGGGCTTCGCGCTGAAGTTCTTTCTTACGTCTCTCCGTTTTCCTCCCATCAAATACATTATTTTTATTTCTATGATCTGAGCCAAATATATAAACAATCGCAATATGTTGTTTCTTAAAATTTTAATACACGTACTTCAGCAACTAATTATTACCATAAGTCAAGAAGAATATTCTTAAAACCTTTAATCTTACTCTAACTACTGTTATTAAAAAGAAAAAAAAGCTAGCTCCCCAAAATTAAATCCTAAATCTGCTACTGTATTATACTGAGGTGTTTCAGAAACAGGTTATTGAACGATAGTTGGTAATCTTAACGTCACCTCACAATATTCCTTCACCATCGCTTTTATTTTATTAGTTCATAATAAGTATATAATAATATATCACTAAAACTTGTAAGTATATAATAATTTAGAAAGCCATGTAAAGTCAGAAAACAGATACATAAAAAAATTATAAAATTTTATAAACCTTGGGATGGGTCGAATATTTTTCGACATAGTATCACAAAAAAAGGTTTCATTGAAATTGGTCACTTCACCTTGTAATTTCGATGTCACAAGAACCTATTCCCCTCCACTTCCAAGATATTTTGTTGCTCGCTTTTCTTAAAAACAGAGGTACCCGAAGGTATAATTAGAAAAATCGTGGATCATATACACTTTAACTTGCTGTGGTCTGATCCATGTTTTCCTCTTTTTCATTTCGAAAATTGACGACCCCACCGAAATGTGCACTCCTCAAAAATTCAAAAACTCGCCAAAATATGGTCCCTCAAAAATGTTTATATCGCAAGTTGCACCAGCAAATCCTCTGGGCACCCCTGCTTCTCCCCCCATCAAAACTGGACTGGAAAACCTCAGGATTTCCCCCAGTTATTAAGAGAAAGTTAACCATCAATTTCTGAGGTGTTTCCCCTTTTTTTTGCGGGTCTTGAAATTACAAGTGTTTTTTTTCCTCTGATTTTACTATACTATAAAATTAAATAGAAATATATTTAGTAAATATTAATTACTAAATCTTTAGCATGTGTTCTAGAAAAAATCATCTGGAAAACTAAATTGTGGTAGTTTTCTATTTAAAATTATAACCTATGTAAAGAAATTGTGATCTTTAGTTTTTAGTTAAGCTCATTTTATGATAAGGAATACTTTGTCTTATTTTTAGCAACTGACTTAGTCATTCCTGTATTTTACAATCATTTTAAATGTCAAAGCAGTCTCCAATGGATGTATGTATCCTCCAAAAATATTTGATAGCAATCATCATGAGTAGAAATGGATTTAAATTAAATTAAATGTATTTTAGAATACAGAAAATAATGTAAAATCTGAAACGATTGAAGACATAATAGATGCCTGTTGTTATTCAAAACCCAAACCACCAGAAGACACTCTGTGTGCTGCATGCAATCGTCCTATCAAAGGAATGGTATGTTTTTTGACAAATGTTTAATTTAAAAATATATCATAGTAATTTTATGATTGTTTTTAGTAAAATTGTTACTTTATATATATTTTTATTATGTATGTATAAGTGAATCTTACACATCATCTTATATATCATAATGGGTTGTACTCCAATGAAACTTGTTGTTGATGGATATTTGATATTTATAGATTGTTCAAGCACTAGGAAAAACTTGGCATCAGGAACATTTTTGTTGTTCGCACTGCAAAAAACCTATCTCAGGGCAGAGATTTAATGTTGAAGAAAACAAGCCATACTGTGAGCACGACTATTCTCAACTTTTTCTTAAACGGTGTCAAGGATGTAATCTACCTATACTCGATGTGAGATAATATTTTTTGCTCAATTAAGTTATCTCCTTATTTCTTTCTCTGTTTATATAATCTTTTTTTAAGGTTGTTGTAGTGGCACTAAATTGTAATTGGCATTATGATCACTTTGTTTGTGCAACATGTGGTACCAGACTAGCACAGCAAGGCTATTATGAGAGAGAAAACAATCCTTTTTGTAAGACGTGCTATGAGGAAAGGTTTTGCCCAAAATGTAAAGAATGTTTAAAGCCTATTAAAGAGACAGCAATAATGGCACTAGGAGAAAAATGGCATCAAGACTGCTTTAAATGCTCTGCAAGTTTCTTTATCCTTTTATATTTACAATAGAGTTAGTATATTTGAAAAAAAAATCTTTAGCAAGGCAAGTATCTAGCAGTATATGTTCAATAATGATCTAGGAATTTCTAATAAGCCTGATATTTTTTAGGCCATAGAAAATTTGTAATTGTTACTTGAAAAACCTGTTTTAAGGCCTATGGTGCAAATAACTTATAGAAATACCTCTGCTTTCATCTAAGTTTATTGTAGATTTTAAAATAATTAATAATTATTGTATATTAGCTAATAATTTGGTGTAAATAAGTACTAATGATATTTTAGCTTTAGGTATTAGCTTGGTTCTTGATTTGGTAATATCAACTCCAAAAAATAGGTATTTGTCAAAGAAAAATTTGACAAACCACAGAACCTACTTTTTATGGTTATTTTTATTTTATCGTTTATTTCAATTTTTGCTCCCTCCCTTATAATTCTGATCCCCAGTAACAAACAATTCTACTGTGGAAATATTGTTATTATTGAGTGAAAGATATGAACAATTAATAATGGGATAATTATCCAGCTCCAATCTGATGATGCCAGCATCTTCAAATTTCTTATACAAAACTTTCTCTTAGTAAATATCATATATTTGTTCTCTGCTTATTTATAATTCATCAAATAGATACCAGGAAGCTGTTCCTTATGCTTTAAGGATAGGCTCTATTCTCCACACAACTTTGCATGTAACCTAGAGCTGTTTCATGTTAAGAGAGTTGGGACAATGGGATTTGTTAAGTTGAATTTAGTACTTATCTCTTTGTTATATATTGGCTTATTGTTACCTCTCATACATATGCTTGTAAAATAAATAATTTTTTTAGCTGTGGTTTTGATAAGAAAGCTTGTGCAAACTAATTTCTAATTTATAAGAATCTTAAATTCATGACGAGGTAAATTCCAGCATGACGAGGGAATTGAAAGAAATTTGGTTAAATATCAAACTATGGTTGCTGATGAAATGGCAATTAAAATATTCTAAGGAGTTACTGCGGAATGATTATTTGGCACATTTTGAGGTGGGTTGTGTAAAGGGCCTCAGATGAGCAGTTAGCCTGATAAATGTGTCACAAAAGGATCTAAACCTTGCAAGCATTGGGACAGAGCACTTGACGTCTCTCAAAGCCCAAGTATATCCAAAAAAATCTCGTTTTAACTTGAAGAGAACACAATGGAAGCCAGGTGACTCGAACATGTAATTATGCAACAAAGGGGTTGGGTGCACGTATAAGAGACCATTTTCCAGTACGAGCTAATTCAACTGATTTTGAGCTCGAATTACAATAAAGATGGCCAGAGGGGAATGATGATGAGGGAAAGCTAATAATGTTCTGTTGGAGTTAGCCTTATCAATGGAGTGTGCTACAGGAGAGGTCTTCCTTACACAATCTGGACAGAGATCCTCTCAAAGTAGATAAGAAAGATAATATCTTTATTATTATTTTCTTATATATTTATTATTATTATAGGAAATTTGTCCTAACTGCTACTGGATTGGGTCTCATGGGCTGAAACCTTGTTTCTCAAGGTCTTGTGTAGGAAATACTCCAAAAGGGGACACTACGCACTTTGTCAAGAGAAGAAGTGTAGTGTGATATGAAAAGTGGATATGAGAAACCAGGATTTTGACCCTGTAAATTATGAGGATAAAGAGATTAAATAAAACTATTATTAAACAGTTCCTACTATTGATCTATACCCTACGATGTTGAGCTATATGGGTATTGCAGCCAGATGGATTTAATTTGGGAGTCTGAATTTATTCTATACTTTATCATTTTGGAACGGAATCAAGGATAAGGATGAAAAGCTCCAAACCTCATCTGCTGTTATACTAGTTTCAAGAAAATTTCACTAAAAGTAGCTGGTAAACTTGGGTGAAGGTAACCTGCGAAAATAAAACCAAATATCAGCCTGCTGTTGTTTTGGTTCAAGAGGATGTTCCATTATTTGGCCTACCTTGGTGTTTACCGTTCAATCTTAGTTTACCCTAAGGATTAAGTATTCATTCCATTATGAATAACTTGAAGGAAGTTCCAGATTTTTAGATGTATAACAGAAAAGAAATAACAACTGACATAGTGAATGTCCTAAAAAGTGGATATGGGGTCAGGAATTTGTGAAAACTTTCATGTAATAATTAACAAGAATACCATACCAGAACAACATCATGCAGACATTTAAGGACCTCGCTGCAAAACTGAGATCATTTCATTGTCATTGACCTTTGTGATGATTTTGTTATGGCCACCCATATGGAGTTATATCGTTATAAAAGGATCCCATTTGGTGATTAGTTCAAATCAGTTCCAACGATTTATAGAGAATTTAATGCATGAGTTGCATTAGAACAGGCCTTAGGGCGGAGCGGCCATTGGGAGCGGCGCCCGATCTTCAGGACTGCTTGCAAGTTAATTACATTTTTTTTTTAATACAAAACGTATTAAAATAATTAGTGTAGCCTATCAGTAAAGCAACTGTATTAAAGAAATGTTGATTGAAATAAAATTCAAATTTTGTATAATATAATTCAGCTTCAGAAATAAATTAAATTTATTTTTTTGAGTGGGGAGAGAAATGACGTGATTGTCCGGGGTGCCGATTGTTGGTTTCCTATAGAAGACATTATAATCGGATGGGATGAAAATCTCCACTTTGAAGCTTTGAGGCGAATGCATGTTGTTAGCTAAAAAATGTCAGTTTTTCCAAAGACTCGTGAACTATTTTAGACGTGTTGATAAACTGGCAGTTCATTCAGCAAAAGAAAAAATGATTACCATCAAGAATAGATAAGCAGCACGACCATCAAATGTGAAAGAACTAACAAGGGGAGGGTTATCGAGTGGGTCACCGATTACAACCAATTTTTTGTTTGGTGATATTACATCCAAAAATATTAGACGCATGTCCCTGCGTTCGTTCCAATAAGTCCTAGGAACCAAGAATAGAAAAAAAAATATGTGTAATTTCAAACAAAATTTATGTCATTTGATTTTGAGCGAAATAAAAAAAAAAAAAAATTGACTATGGTATTAAATGACTTAAAATATATCATGAATTACAAAAACAAAAAGGCACTTCTAGTAAAGTAGATCACTCTTGTAATATAAAAAAGCAAGTTAGATTCGTATAAAAGTACGTTTACTTTCCTTTGAAACTCTTAAATACGAATTTTTGTAGAAATCAAAACTTTCAAATTTTAGTACTTGATTTTTTTTTTTTACTGCGGATAAGTATAGGATTCATTACTTCTCAGGACTTTATCCAAATTCAACGTCAGTATCATCGTTAATTTATAGATTTCATTCCCTTTCAAGTTGGAAATTGACAAAAAAAAAAATTAATTTTGTTTTATACTTTTGCTTCTAATTTGTTTACGAAAGTCGGGCCTGTTCAATTTCGTGTCGCAGTTCCCTAAATCCCAAATATTTTTTGTGTGCATTGGTGGAGTCCTCTTGGAGTTGTGACAATTTTTGCTACCTACAAAGTTTTGAAGGTTCTCAAATTTCATGCAAAAACTTTTAATTTTCAATTGCTATAAAAAATCCTATTTAAGGGTTTTTTGAGGTGCGAAAAATTAATATAAACATTATTTCTCTCTAAAAAAATTACTAATTTGCAGTTTTCGATTTCTATGAAACTTCGTATTTAAGAGTTTTAAAGGAAACTAAAAACGAATCTAACTAGCTTTTTCATGACTAAAATTTACTTGGCCTACTCTATTGGAAGCACGGCTTCTAGCCAGTGCTCCTTCCTCCAATATTCCGAATTATAAAACGAAAAATCTTACGTATTTAGTGCAAATTAACCCAAGTTTGTACGATACCAATCATCCGGATTATATCAGGCCGAAAAATATAGACAAGATATGGAAGGAAATAGCCAAAGAATTAAACATGAAACATGGTAAGTGCAGTTTCTTTTTGTGACATCATATAGAAATATAGAGCAAATAGTTTTGCTTGAAAAATATTAATATCAAATTTAAATATTTTGAGATTAATTTTTATTACTTGCTCAGTGGCGGATCCTGAAATTTTTTCAGGGGAGGGCGCACCTCTGTACCAGATGCTTCCCCCACTCCTACCCATCTCCCCTCACTCCTTAGCTGAATTTAGCCGCTCAAAAGTCCTCTTTAAATGGTTATAACAAAAGCGAACTCTATTTTTATTTGAAGTAAATTTTGTCTTTGCTTACAGTGAACCAATCGTTAATTACTTAAATTAAATAGTTTCTTTGTTATCACTTCCTATTTAACAAAAAACGTGATTTACATAAAAAATCACAAAACTTTAACTTCCTACTTTTCTACTGAAAATCAAACCATTGTTTGTTTTAATTGAGTTCTGCTATAATTTTTTTATATATATATTACATTAGAAAATTCTATGAGAATGAATTTTTCCTATATTTATCTTTTCATTAAGCAGCTGCTTAAAATATTAGTTTTAAAAAGGAAGGCTCTTCGGAGGATATTTGGTCCAGTTAAGGAGAATGGTGAATGGAGAATTAGACGCAACTAAGAACTAGCTAACTTATATATTGTATACAAGGAGCCGGATGTGGTGAAATATTTCCAGATAGCTTCCAATATTCCAGATGAGACCTCAATCCCAACGAAGCTACTGAGCATGGAGTCGGGAGGAAAGAGAAAAGTGGGCAGACCGAAACTGGGATGGAAAATGGAGTAAGTGCTGATGCCAGAATCCATGGAATCAGGAACTGGGGGAGGCTGCTCAGGACAGGAAAACATAGAGGAAAACTCTTGAGGCACCCAAGACCCAGTAATGGGTTGTCGAGCTCGGGATGATGATATTGATTAGAAAATTCATCTTAGAGGATAAATTTTTCCTATATTTCTCTTTTCTATAAATAGGTGTTTTTTTAGAATTTTTTTTCCACCATCCAAGAGAAGGTGCGCCCCTGGCAGGATTCACTAGTGCTGGTCACGATAATGATTTTTTTTTATATTACAT